TCCATCAAACCATCTGCGACATCGCCATAGAAAAATTTGCAAAAGCCACAAAAGCACCCCTTGTACTCGGCTGAAACACAGGCAGCGCCCAATCAACCTCGATCAACGCGCACGCAAGCTGCCTGCACGGCCTGTGCCACGACGAAGAATTCGACGCCTACGATATCTCAACTGTCAATTCTGCAAGGTGTTCGAACCTCGTTTGTTCTTCACAAGAATGCCAGCTGCGATTTCCGCTATCTCCGCGTCCAAAGCATTCTTGTGTTATCCAGGACGCAACCATCAGCCTCGCCCACCAGAACTCCTGCGTTAACCGGACTGCTGCACTCTTTCCTGAAGTTTTGCGAGTTTACGGAACACAACGGGGCCATGAAACCAATTGTGCATTTTGACAATTGTGACTTCTCAACCTCTCCTTGTGTACTTTTCCTTGTTCGTAATCCATGCCTTCTTTCGGGGGGAGGGGGAATCGTGTGACGTATGAAGCGATGATTGGTAGAAGCCGAGAAGGAGGAAGTGCAGAACGGAATAAACATGGCGTATAAGCCAGGCCACGTCGCCCATTCAGCATAGCGTCATATATATATATATATATATATATATATATATATATATATATATATATATATATATATATATATATACATACGAGGGATTATTGATGAGCTGCCCGCTCGTAATAAATTCACGCGCTACGTGACGCCACACATGCGCATAGAAGAGTGTTTCACACTCGTCGCTTGGCTTACAGATGGCGCTCACTGACACTCCTACCTCTAAATTCACATATAAACCCCAAAAATTGAATGAAGGGAAGGCCGCTGTTGTCAGCGTCAATGTACAGAAGCTTCACAGGATTTTTGCTGTATTTGTGTGGAAATCGCCGTGGGAACGTACAAGCCGGTCTAATTTATTCCAGTTCGTTAGCAATGGCGAAGTCGGTTTATGTTATTTATTTATTAGACAGGTTGTCTCTCGGTTTATTTTCCTTCGCGATCAAAGAAACAAATTTCTGCAAACAGTGATAAAAGTAAGGCTGTCATCACGCATTCCAGATTTTGTTGTGTCTACAAACAGTGATATGTGCCGATATGTGACTGGTTTTTTGAGAGAAGGCATACAGTCTTTGAGTTTTTGAAAGTGCGTTTTTTGCTGGAATATCTTGCCAATGTTAAGCGAAAAAATCTGTACAGGGATCTCCGTGATGTCTTGTTCCCAACACCTTTGTACAGATCTATGTTCAATGGAGGGCCCGGACAGGACGTTTTGAAAAGGGTCAAAAGGATGAAAGTAAAAGCAAGGGCAAAAATTTTCTTTTTAAATTGCATTCCGGGACTCTCCCCGTAAAGCAGTGGCTAGCGGACAAGGGAATCGATGTACCATGGACAACCAATTGTTTACTTTGTAAAACACCTGAGACAATAGACCATGTGTTTATTCATTGCTGGGATGCTGTCTTTCATTGGGACATCCTTCAAAGAACATTGAAAAAAGATCTCCCCATTACAAGCCATGGCATTCGTTTTCTCTGTGTGGATGATGACGACGGCATACCATACGACATGGTTATGTTAATTAGCCTTCACAGCATCTGGCAGACTGCAATGGCTTACAGACATCTTGGCCAGAACATACGTCCTGTCCGGGAGAACTTCATTGCAAATATGTGGTATATCACTCAGGTGTATAAACAACAAGAAGAACCTCCCAGCTGGCTAACAATGTTAGAGGAATTGTGCAACCTGAAAAAAATTTAATGTGAGCACTTCGGATCAAATATTGGTCCAAGTGTATTTTATCATTCATGTTTCTGTGGGAACATCTGTAAAGATAAACAGGTAATAAAGAAAAAAAAGGGAAGGCCGCTGTGATAGCTCAGTAGTTGGAGCATCAAACACGTTATTCGAAGGTCGTAGGTTCGATTCCTGCTCACAGCTAGTTATTTTTAACCCACTTTTCTTTCTTCTTATTTACATTCCATTGGTTCTAATAACTTCCCCTATACATTCCTTGGCATTGCTGTCTGTTAGATCTCATTAATACTGTGTCAAAACACCGAAAAACGAGCACTTAGGTATACACTTCTTTTCATTATATATATATATATATATATATATATATATATATATATATGTGTGTGTGTGTGTGTGTGTGTGTGTGTGTGTGTGTGTGTGTGTGTGTGTGTGTGTGTGTGTGTGTGTGTGTGTGTATGTATGTCGGCGCTCTACAGTACGCTTCTTGGTATTTTACCTTAAAATACGAGTTGCCAGCGAATTCAATCCTCTTGGAGCATTTTTATAATATAGATGACTCACCTGAGATATCTTTACATCTTTATCAATCATCCCGTGAAACTGTTTGCTGGCAAAGGTCAAGACACCACCCCCTGCCTTGCACACCCCTATTCATGCATCTGATCAATAATATCGAGGTAGTGGATGAACGCTAGTGTGTTCAGAAAGTGAATAAAAAGCAGCGGTAAACTCAAAACACAGAGAAAGAAAACGACGTGACAGTCTGGTACTAACAGCCCATGAAGGAAAGAAAAAAAATAGGAGGGAATACATCTGGCGTCCAAAAGCCACAACCACCTCTGCAGCCGCTTGCTTCTCGCGTTCATGCTCATTTTTTATTATGCTGCTATTTCAATTCTTTTTTGGTGGCCTCGTCACCACAAACAACCCCCTCATTCCTCACACGTGGCACTCACTTCTCAGCAAGCTCATTTTTCATTTTTATGGCTGGGCTTCAAAATTATCACGTGACTTTGCAACGTACAAAACGACAGGACAGTCTGCCTGTCCGGTCGCTTTCTTTTTCTGTGCTTCGTGTTTGTCTCGGTTCGACGTGTATCAACTAGCCCAGTCCATCAACTTGGTAGCGTTAAGAAATGTGTGAACACACGAGTATAAACGTAAGTCGATAAAGAGTTGACAGTAATGCTCAAAATGAGAAGATAAGACCATAGGTTGGCCATAAAAGATGGAGCTCACTCATACTCACTCAATAAATATATTTTGCCCTAGGGCAAAATATAACTACCATTATGGATAGTAACTACCAATATGGATAGGATAGTTAAAATAGCGGAGGAGTTTTACAGAGATCTGTACAGTAGCCGGGACAACCACGACTTTTATACTATAAGAACTAGCAGTAACCCAGATGACACCCCACCAGTAATGATAGAAGAAGTCAGAAAAGCTTTGGAGAGCATGCAAAGAGGCAACGCTGCTGGTGAGGATCAGGTAACATCAGATCTGCTGCAAAACGGAAGACAGATTGTGTTAGAAAAACTAGCCACTCTGTTTACGAGGTGTCTCCTGACGGGAAGAGTACCAGAGTCTTGGAAGAACGCTAACATCATCTTAATACATAAGAAAGGAGATGACAAGGACTTGAAGAATTACAGGCCGATCAGCTTGCTCTCTGTAGTATACAAGCTATTTACAAATGTAATTGTTAACAGAGTAAAGAAAACATTAGAATTCAATCAACCAAAGGAACAAGCAGGATTTCGAACAGGCTACTCAACAATCGACCACATTCATACTATCAATCAGGTAATAGAAAAATGCTAAGAATATAACCAACCACTATACTTAGCCTTCATAGATTACGAGAAGGCGTTTGATTCAGTAGAAATATCAGCCGTCATGCAGACACTGCGGAATCAGGGCGTCGATGAAGTATATATACACATCCTGGAAGAAATCTACAAGGGATCAACTGCTACCATAGTGCTTCATAAGGAAAGCAACAGAATACCAATCAAGAAGGGTGTAAGGCAGGGGGACACAATCTCCCCAATGCTATTTACCGGGTGCTTACAGGAGGTTTTCAGAAGCCTAGAATGGGAAAAGTTAGGGATAAGAGTTAATAGAGAGTACCTTAGTAACCTGCGCTTCGCCGATGACATTGCATTGCTGAGTAACTCAGGGGAAGAATTGCAACTCACGATTACGGAGTTAGACAAGGAGAGCAGTAAGGTAGGTCTTAAAATGAATCTGCAGAAAACGAAAGTAATGTACAACAACCTCGGAAAAAAGCAGCGCTTCGAGATAGGTAATAGTGCACTTCAAGTGGTAAAAGACTATGTCTACTTAGGGCAGGTAATAACCGTGGAGCCGAACCACGAGATTGAAGTAACTAGAAGAATAAGAATGGGGTGGAGCACATTGGCAAGCACTCTCAAATTAGGACAGGTATATTGCCAACATCCCTCAAGAGAAAGGTATATAACAGCTGTATCTTGCCGGTACTTAGCTACGGAGCAGAAACCTGGAGACTTACAAAGAGGTTTCAGCCTAAATTGCGGACGACGCAGCGAGCAATGGAAAAAAAATGGTATGTGTGACCTTAAGAAACAAGAAGAGAGCAGAGTGGATTAGGGAACAAACGGGGGTAAAGGATATCATAGCTGAAATCAAGAAGAAGAAATGGACATGGACCTGGCATGTAGCGCGTAGACAGGATAACCACTGGTGGTTAAGGGTAACTAACTGAATTCCCAGAGAAGGAAAGCGGGTTAGGGGGAGACAGAAGGTTAGGTGGGCAAATGAGATTAAGGAGGTTGCGGGTATAAATTGGCAGCAACAAGCACAGGACCGGGTTAACTGGCGGAACATGGGAGAGGCCTTTGTCCTGCAGTGGAAGTAGTCCGGCTGATGATGATGATGATGATGATGATGATGATGACTTGGACTCAAACTCGCCGAATTATTACACGTTTGTACTCGCTCAGACTCAAACTCACGGCCCGATCGGAGTATAGCGACTCTGAGAGGGTTGACTCATGAGTGATTCCGACCTATAGCCACTACTGCAATTCAAAATGACTTCGTGTATTCTGGAAAACATATAAAATGATTCGCTGAATTTCGAGTCACAATCATTTGCAAAGCTGCCCCTGCTTTTTTTTTACTTTCAACGGCCAGTATATCTCAACGTGGATCAATAAACCAATAAGCATTGTAAGCAAACATGCTTGCTCCTCTCACCTGAATTATGTATTGGTCGGCGGTCATGGTGAACTCCTTTCCAGCAATGGTGAATGAAATCTTCGGCATTCTCGGAATATTGGCACACTTTACACGCCACTGAGAGTGAAAAACAAAACAAAACAAAGGACGTGTCAGTCACTCGTGGGTATTGACCTGTCTTCTGAACTAGATTTACAAAGGCATTTTCATAACTGCTTTGGTAAACTTCCTAATGGTAGAGTTTCAAGATAAGATATTGTTACGGTGCACCATCGACAGGAGCAAGCGTGGCACTTTGCGAAGAGGACGAAGGCACGTGAGCGTTAAACGCTTGCGCAAGAGGCAACTCAGCCATCTTGTTCGGCTGCCAATTATCTGTGGACGCTATACTATAAACCTATATCTCGCCCCGTCACATTTGGTGGAGGTGCTGGGTAACCGCCTCGCAACGGAACTTCGCAGCGGCCGTCAATTGAAGGGTCATTCCACAACGATGATGGAAAGTACGGCGTCTGCATCTGCTCCTGGTGTTCCTGCGGCCGGAGATGATGCGGTAAATACATCTCCTTCTGCGACCACAACCTTCGTGCTCGAACCCCCGCGGGATCCTGGCACGTTTAGCGGTTCTGGTGATCCAGATGAAATTGACGTTGAAGATTGGCTGGCGGAGTATGAATGAGTGAGTACTCGATACCCATGGGGCCCGACTCTTATGCTGGCGAACCTGTTGTTCTATCTTAGGGGAACCACCAAATCGTGGTATGAGAACCATGAAGCAGGACTTGGGAGTTGGGCAGTATGCAGGGAGAAAATGTTGGACCTGTTCGGAGAGCCTATTGGTAGAAAAATGACCGCGAACAAAATGCTCGCGTCTCGGGCGCAGACCTCAACGGAGTCGTACGTCTCGTATGTAGAAGATGTTTTTGCGTTGTGTCGAAAAGCTAATGCCGAGATGCCGGAGGCTGATAAGGTTAGACATATCATTAAGGGGATTGCGGACGACCCATTCAACCTCCTCATCAGCAAAAATTATTCTACAGTGGACGCCATTGTAAAGAAATGCCGGCGCTTTGCGCTAGCGAAGAGCCGGCGGATTAACAGCGTGTTTACCCGCCTTCCGAATACGGCTGCAACGTCATCTTGCGAAGACCGTGCAAGAGCACAGCCGCCACCTCCAGTTTCATAGGATCAGGTGACCCGAATTGTACGGCGCGAACTTGAAGCCATTACCCCTGTTCCGGCTCACATTGCTGCAAGTTACACGACCCCACTCACTTCTAACATGGTTTCAAGCCATCGTCCGCCAAGAACTCGCCAGCATAGGTATTCCCTCGGTGTGCGCTTTACCCCGCCCGCAGCGGGCTTCGTGGCGTCCACTCCGTTCTATCACGAGCAGCAGTTTACGGCTCGATCTCGCGACTCTGCTGCGTGGAGAACCACCGACAATCGACCAATTTGCTTTCATTGCCACCGTATCGGTCATGTCGTCCGTTAATGCAATTACCACTGGTCCTCGCCACCTCGGCCTTCATCTCAACCTCACTACCGACAGGACAGCACCCGCTTCGCGTCTGCCGCGCATGCTTCTCCGCCAAACAACTACAGAAGGTTCAACAGCCGATCTCCGTCACCGCATGGTCATCAGTCGCGTTCGCCTCCAGGACGTCGTCAGTCGTCTCGCTCACAGCCGACTCGCAGGCTGTCATCCCCATTCAACCTCGCTCCTGCCTATCCGGAAAACTAAACGGTGCAGCGCCCGGAGGTGACGCTGCATTATCGACGTCCTCCACAAATCCTCTTTTGACGCCTCCGACGAGACAAAGTTTATTAGACGTTGACGTTGATGGTGTGACTATTTCTGTCCTTATAGATATTGGAGCGCACATTTCTGTAATGAGCGCGAACCTTCACCGACGCCTACATAAAGTGCTACGCTTGCTCTTGTCGATGGTGCACCGAACAATATATACAAATCCATCAAACGGAATTGAAATGTAGGCCAAATGCAGCCAAAATAAAAAAGTGGATAAATAGTATTTCTATTTGTGTTTGAACTCACTAAACTGTTTTATCGCGTAACCGCAGTTTAAACATATACTGTTCTTGACCTGATACCCTGCCATTCGGTAATCAATCACCCATCCCGCATAGCCTACCTAGCCACCGTGAACTCAGAGGCATAGCACTGCGATGGTTCCAACATGCTCCGTCTCATATTTATAACTCTAATGGAAAATCTGCATTACCGAAACAATGCCGTTATAGTCGTAGGACTGTTTTTTTTTTGTCAAACAACTATTCCAGTCCTTCCGAAATTGCAATGTCCAAAACCAAATATATTTCATGTACTCACTCACAGAAAATGTGGCCCTTGCTTATGAGGTGTTTTCTGTTGAGCGCAACAGCAAGTAAAAAAGCACGGTTCTTAAGAGGACTAAATATACATATTGCCATATGCCTTGAGCCATCCGCACTGGCATGTAGTCATGCTTGGTTTAATGCGAGAAAATAACGTTTCTGGTCTTGTTCCGGCACAGACGGGGGCTCCTGGATGTCTCTTTTGTGTCCACTCGACATCACGGTTCCAGCGTTACATAACTAAATATAGTGATAAAGTTCGAAGTTAACCAGATCTATTGTACAGTAGTCGTTTTTAGATGTCTACAACGCAGTTTTCGAGCAGGTCTTAACTAGAATACATAGATTGCACGTGTCAGCTTCTAATGGTAAACGCTATATTGGGATGTTGCGACAGGATACTGAGGCCGCTTGAAAAGCATTAAAATAATTGCGTTAGCATATTCATTGATTGATATGGGGGGTTTAACGTCTCAAAACCACCATATGATTATGAAAGGCGTCGTATTTGACACTCCTGAAATTTCGACCACCTGTGGTTCTTTAACGTGCACCCAAATCTGAGAACACGGGCCTACAACACTTTCGCCTCGATCAGAAATGCAGCCGCCGCAGCCGGCATATGAACCCGCGACCTGCGGGTCAGCAGCCGAGTACCTTAGCCACTAGATCACTGAGGTACCAGCCGAGTACCTTAGCCACTAGATCACTAGATCAAATACCTAAATTAGCGCATCGGCATATTCAGGCTACCATTTATTGTTGTTGAATTGTTAAGCAATGACAGTGATAAAGGATAAGGCACGCATAAAGTGTGAAAAGACGTGCATGCGTAAGTTGATAAAATTGGGGTGAACGTAGCTCGGTGCCCTCATTATTATTTGAAAGCGAAAAAAAAAAAGAGCTCGCAAGACAGGCCCGCAAGATATGTCCTTTTTCGAGTACATTTGCCTTCACTGTTTGAAATTTGCTCAGTGACGCTTTATCTTAAGAATGATCACTTGTCGCACAGATATTTACACTTTAAAATGTACTAGTCTTTCATAGA